GCGATGACTTGTCTCGGGCCTGGCTTTAGTAAGCAAAATAACTCGATGTCTCGCACTTCTAAGTGTTATCTGTAGAGTTTACCCAGGTTTGTCTCGGGCCTAGCTTTAGTAAGCAAAAGAACTCAATGTCTCACACTTCTAAGTGTTATCTGTAGAGTTTACCCAGGTTTAAACGTTTACTTTTAAAATATTATCTGAATGAAACTATCTAACCATTTAACTTATTTCAGCAAACCAGGCTTAGAAACTTGTTTTGTTAAATGACATAAGACACGGTTTCAAGGTCAGTTCAATGGTCTAGAGATGTATGAATTTACTTAGCTTCGATTGAACTGTAGAGGGTGTTTCCTGTACTTCTTCACAGCGAGTCTCGAGAGGGCATCATCCTTTAGTAGGAAAGAAAGTGACCTTGGCAACAGGCCAGCGTGAAGTAGAAGTATCACGTGCCTTACAGAACCACGATACTGCACGTGAAGAAACAAGATCGAACAGTAATATGTTACAGCTCCTCATGTTGTGCAGCACGTGGGAATAATGTTCAAGACACAAGTGTAGTTAAGTGTGAACCCAAACATAGTTACATGTTTAGCGAGGATTAACGTGCTGAGGAGATAATAAACAGGTTTAATCAATGCTAGTATATGCTTTTTTTCAGGCCCTACTAATCCAAAGCACGATATCATTTTCCCGCTACTAGGATAGGACTTTATACACAATGTATGAGACTTTTTTTTTCTAACACGTTTCTAATTGTTTGAATTTTGCATGAAAAACATCGTTTTCTGTGAAGTAGTTTAAATATTAATTCTTAGTTAGTGTTACTTAATGATAAGTAGGGCATTAGTCTAATTTCAATATTTGAACGACATAGAACCCCACATCATAGCAAACTACGAAGAACAATAAGAAAAACTAGACATATTGGGGAATACTGTCAGAAGGGGGGGTTTGATATATATACTGAACTTTCACATTACCAAAACTTCAGCCGTTCACACATGACAACTGATGAGTACAAAGGTGTTTTTGTCAGTCTGATCTTTTCGCTTTCAAATTATTTTTACAATTTTCCTCAAATCCATTGGTGATTTGGTTTGTTTCAACAAGGATTAAAGGAAATCAAAATATCAACGGGAGATATTCCATAACTTACTGTGTTTTACTGCTAATTCACACAACAACACTCAGTGTTTGTGTTATTCTTTCAGAAACTATAGAAAGTGCTTGATTTTTATAAACGAGCAATATACTACACACGAAACACAAAAGGAATGTAATGAAGATTACCACATTAAAACCTTTCATTCACACTAGTACTAAAAGTATGAACCAAGCACTCAAATGGAGAGTAACGGGAGTCACGGTTTTCCTAGTAATATCAGGCACAATACTTGAGTGAAACTTACTGACTACATAAACACATATAATGTGTTCTTATTGACGACATAAACACACACATAGAGCGTGTTCTTACTGACGACTTAAACAGACACATAGAGCGTGTTCTTTCTGATGACACAAACACACATAGAACGTGCCCTTACTGATGACACAAACACACATAGAACGTGTTCTTACTGACGACATAAACACATATAATGTGTTCTTTCTGATGACACAAACACACATAGAACGTGCCCTTACTGATGACACAAACACACATAGAACGTGTTCTTACTGACGACATAAACACATATAATGTGTTCTTATTGACGACATAAACACACATAGAATGTTTTCTTATTGACTACATAAACACACACAGAGCGTGTTCTTGCTGATGACACAAACACACATAGAACGTGTTCTTACTGACGACATAAACACAGAGCGTGTTCTTACTGATGTCGTATACACATAAAGTGTGTCCTGACTCATGAGATAAGTATATACTGAGTGAATCTTGACTCATGACACAAGTATATACAGAGTGTATCTTGACTCATGACATAAGTATATATACAGTGTATCCTGACTCATGAAATAAGTATATACAGAGTGTATCTTGACTCATGACATAAGTATATATACAGTGTATCCTGACTCATGGAATAAGTATATACAGAGTGTATCTTGAATCATAACATAATTATATACAAGAGTGTATCCTGACTCATGAGATAAGTATATACAAGCGTGTATCCTGACTCATGAGATAAGTATATACAAGCCTGTATCCTGACTCATGAGATAAGTATATACTGAGTGAATCTTGACTCATGACACAAGTATATACAGAGTGTATCTTGACTCATGACATAAGCATATACAGTGTATCCTGACTCATGACATAAGTATATACAAAAGTGTATCTTGAATCATGACATAATTATATACAAGAGTGTATCCTGACTCATGAGATAAGTATATACACGAGTGTATCTTGACTCATGACACAAGTATATACAAGAGTGTATCTTGACTCATGACATAATTATATACTGAGTGAATCTTGACTCATGACACAAGTATATATACAGTGTATCTTGACTCATGACATAAGTATATACAGTGTATCTTGACTCATGACATAATTATATACAAGAGTGTATCCTGACTCATGAGATAAGTGTATACAAGCGTGTATTCTGACTCATGAGATAAGTATATACAGAGTATATCTTGACTCATGAGATAAGTTTATACAAGTGTGTATCCTGACTCATGAGATAAGTATATATATAGAGTGTATTTTGACTCATGACATAAGTATACACGAGTGTATCTTGACTCACGACATAAGTATATACAGAGTTATCTTAACTCATGACATAAGAATATACAGTTATCTTGACTCATCACATAATTATATACAGAGTTATCTTGACTCATGACATAAGCATATACAGAGTTATCTTGACTCATGACATAAGAATATACAGAGTTATCTTGACTCATGACATAATTATATACAGAGTTATCTTGACTCATGACATAAGTATATACAGAGTTATCTTAACTCATGACATAAGAATATACAGAGTTATCTTGACTCATGACATAAGTGTATACAGAGTTATCTTGACTCATGACATAAGTATATACAGTGTATCCTGACTCATGACATAATTATATACAGAGTTATCTTGACTCATGACATAAGTATATACAGAGTTATCTTAACTCATGACATAAGTATATACAATGTATCCTGACTCATGACATAATTATATACAGAGTTATCTTGACTCATGACACAAGTATATATATGTAGCGTGTTCTTGCTTACGACATATTCACGTTGATGACAATATAGATATTGAACAATGGCTTATATCTTTCTTTTTCGTACGTAATCATTTCCAAGGAAGCAGTATAACATTTTCCAGAAGATGGGGATTTCACGTGATAACGTCAACATTCTGTTGTTAAAATCCCGGATAGAACTTACACTGATATATTGTGACATATGGATTCTCAGAAGAAGAATTATTTCTTAAAACAGAGAATTCGTAAGGTAAAGGTGAAGAACTCTAGTCTACTTTACGTTGTAACCAATGTGGATATCAGTGGAAAGTAACTAGAACACCAATGTTTACCTTTTAGTGTATGTGACGATCAACTTTCAATCATTACTCTTGAAGTAGTGAACTAATGTGAGAAACCAACAAACACGAGTGTAATGTCAGTTTGATATCCTTCAGTAACAAGTGTAATGTCACTTTGATATCCCCCAGTAACAAGTGTAGTGTCAGTTTGATATTCTCCAGTAACAAGTGTAGTGTCAGTTTGATATCCCCCAGTAACAATTTTAGTGTCAGTTTGATGTCCTCCAGTAACAAGTGTAATGTCACTTTGATATTCCACAGTAACAAATGTAGTATCAGTTTGATATCCTCTATTAACAAGTCTAATGTCACTTTGATACCTTCCAGTAACAAGTGTAATGTCACTTTGATATTCCACATTAACAAATGTAGTGTCAGTTTGATATTCTCCAGTAACAAGTGTAGTGTCAGTTTGATATACTTGTTACTGGAGGACATCAAACTGACACTAAAATTGTTACTGGAGAATATCAAACTGATACTACATTTGTTACTGTGGAATATCAAAGTGACATTACACTTGTTACTGGGGGATATCAAAGTGACACTACAATTGTTACTGGGACACTTGTTACTGGAAGGTATCAAAGTGACATTAGACTTGTTACTGGAGAATATCAAACTGATACTACATTTGTTACTGTGGAATATCAAAGTGACATTACAGTGTCAGTTTTATATCCTCCAGTAACAAGTGTAGTGTCTGTTTGATATCCTCTAGTAACAAGTCTAATGTCACTTTGATACCCTGCAGTAACAAGTGCAGTGTCAGTTTTATATCCTCCAGTAACAAGTGTAGTGTCTGTTTGATATCCTCCAGTAACAAGTGTAGTGTCAGTTTGATGTCCTTCAGTAACAAGTGTAGTGTCAGTTTGATATCCTCCAGTAACAAGTTTAGTGTCAGTTTGATATTCTCCTGTGACAAGTTTAGCTTTTTAATGTGGACTACTCCAGATGTTCTCTACATATGTTCCTGATGTGGACTACTCCAGGTGTCCTCTACAGAATTTCCTGATGTGGACAACTCCAGGTGTCCTCTACAGAATTTCCAGATGCGGACAACTCCAGGTGTCCTCTACATATGTTCCTGATGTGGACCACCCCAGCTGTTATCTACATATTCAAACATGCTTCTCATGGTCAACAGATAAATTAGCTAAAACATGTCACCTTATATTTATTAAATGTTTTAAAAATCATTTAACTGTAGTCGAGTGTACTTCAAATATTAGCTGTTAATTTCTCCCACATATTCACTGTCACGTGAGAGTGAACTGCACACAAAGCTTTCGCTTTCTGTATTACTGTTATATAGCTCCGCCTACTCTTAACACCACTTCAAAACAGAGATCGGTCATGAGATAGACAAGGGCGCTAACCTTGAAGCTCATTGGATAATAGAGGTATGATGTCACCACTAAGCACTTTCTAAATACCCAAGCCGGCAAGCCGCTAGTCACTGCAGTGTCTGACGCTTCTAGAGTACGGTGTAAGCACTTTTTTGTTATAAACTTAATTACAGCTCAGCTTATTTTATTTTCCAAGACTCGACCTGTCAAATTATGCAATGTTATTAGGTTTGTCATGTCTACGTTGCTGTACAAAACCCTTAGCGATGACTACGTCACCAGTAAAAACAAATACTGGGGCAGTGAGGTAGACCTAAAAATGGAGAAAGATGCGATCGTGTTTGGCTCCATGAAGGTAGCCACGAACTCTCGTACTCCGTACACGGATGCTACACGCTGTAAGAAAACAGCCAACCATATCAAACGGCCCATGAACGCGTTCATGGTGTGGAGCCAGATCGAACGCCGTAAAATCTGCGAAAAACAACCCGACATGCATAACGCAGAAATTAGCAAGCGGCTAGGAAGACGATGGAAGCTGCTGGCTGACAAAGAACGGCAGCCGTTTATCGAGGAAGCAGAACGACTACGTATACTTCACATGCAAGAGTATCCCGGCTATAAATACAGACCTAGGAAAAAAGTGAAAGCGACTCCAAAGCCTGAGAAGAAACACAAGTCATTTGGAGACAAGGGTGGCAGAAAATCTAAACAGTCGAGGTTTTACGTCTGTAATAACGTAAGCACATCAACATCAGTTTCCGCTTGCTCAGTTAATCAGAAGAGGCTTAAACTGAAACTTACTATTGACAGGAAATTTAAAGAAAGCATTAGGAAGAGTAAGGAAATTCCCTTGTCCGTAAATCAGCTAACACCTCCGGCCAAAGTACCATGTTCACCGTCCAGGGATGAGCCTTCTTCACCGGAAGGTTCTAACGTTAGTCTTTACGAAGATGGGCGAGTTACATTTGACAAAAACCATTTAGTTTTAACAACGGTTAAGACCGAACCTGTTGACATCTCGGTGTGTCCAGTCGATGTGGACACGCTGACCCAAGTGCTATCAGTACCCTCTCCGTGGGATCGAGAACTGACCACTTCGAATATCTCTCCTCTGACAGACTTTAATGCTTTGGATACTCATAGTTCCAGTTCAGGTTCCCACTTCGAATTTCCGGATTACCCTACTTCCGAAGTGACTGACATCCTGGGGGAAGACTGGCTTGACACGAGTTTTGCGTCTTTTATTTAAGTGGTAAGCTTAGTGGTGCAATCGAACATTAGTTAAATAATCTACGCTTTGAAAACACGAGCAATTTATATCCAAGGAACGAGAGCTTATCTCACGACCGCGTGGCCTCAGGAAAGACCCACAAATTATTGAAATATATTAAGACAATAATACGTATCTTTTGTTAGTTACCAGTGAAAAAAAGAAAATTATCATTATCGGATAAACTTTCACACGATCTCGTTTATTTAGCACAATTGAATGGTTTATCAACGAAACAATGCATTTGAGTGAAAAAACTTTCACAATAAATACGTGATAGAAATGTATTTTATTTTTGGAAACATCCTTTGTATATTTGCATGTTAAGTTTTTGGTACTTGAAGCGAAGTTTTAAAATGGTTGCTGTAAATTATTCTCTGTCTATTAATTTCATTGTAGTGTCTGTGTTACAAGCACACATTCAAGGTAGTCAGTAGTGTATTAAATACCTGTAAATATTGTTTCATATGATTTGGTGAGCCATTTTTGTATTATTATTTTGTATTACTGAGTTAGATATAATAAAATTTTATACATTTATATAGAAACTAAAGATAAGCCATGGGTCGAGCCCGGGACATATAACAGACCATCACAATTTTCTTCTTTAATTACACCAGTAAAATCAGGGTTAAAAATATAAGATTGTCTGCATCAATGTTTTCGTTGTTGTAGACTTACGTCATTGGGTAAGCTGTAAAATCTCCAACCGATTATTTATTTATTATTTGGTGAAGAAAATGGAAGCTATTGTTATTGTACAGCAATTAGTTTTAATATATCATATCTGCTCTATATCAAGAAATAGTACGTTTATATTCCCAGAACAGTGTCTTGTGTGATTAATTATAAGAAAGGTGTTTCCTCACAAAGAGATCATAGGCACTTTATTCTTTTCTTTATTTATAGGGTGAGGAGAAACGTCTATCATCTTAAGGTAAAAACACGATCATTACGTAACGATTACTCATTAGGTAAGCCTAAGTTGTAATAACTCTGCATAAGAACATAAAACTCGTGTCTGTTTATCCGTACTTGATGTACGTATTTCCCATTTTATCCATACATAAGACATAACTTTTACCATTTTATCTGTACGTAAGATACACACTTACTCGTTGTACCAGTGTACGTTAGTATTTTCCTTCCAAACCAAACGTTAAAAGTTCAAAAAGAGAAAAGAAATTTCCAATTAGAATATTTATAGTTTTATCACAGTTCTGATTCTTCCTCTATTTTAAAAATCCCTGTATATTGGCTTCACAGAAAAGTTATCAACACAATATTGTGTGTTGGTCAACATTCTTCACAAAAATGTTATCAACACAACACTCTGTGAGTTGAACGACAGTCTATAAAATGTTGTTCATTCCCTTTCTATATATAGGTTTACACTCTTTACCAAAACTTCTAAACATACGATGCACCATGCCTTGTAAACACATACAGTGTCCTGGTTGACAGTCTTCTCATAAAGGTGCTAAAAATATATTCTCAACAAAAACCAACAGTTAACCGAATAAGGGAAATAGAGCGTTATTATAGTTTCAGTTAGGTCATGACAAAACACAACTGTTTTATTAAGAACTGATATCAGACGACAACATTTGTTCTACACGCTATTTATTCAGTTAAGTAGATGTACTATATAAAGAAAGAGAACTTGTGTAATTCGGTTATTAGAAAACAGTATTTTGTTGCAAGGATTGGCAATAGAAACATTTTTAAAAATTACAAGCAAACACGTCAATGATTTTGTTTGTTTGTTTTGAATTTCGCGCAAAGCTACACGAGGGCTATCTGCGCTAGCCGTCCCTAATTTAGCAGTGTAAGACTAGAGGGAAGGCAGCTA